ATTTATTTATTTGAGAGAGAGAGAATGAGAGATAGAGAGCATGAGAGGGGGGAGGGTCAGAGGGAGAAGCAGACTCCCCGCTGAGCAGGGAGCCCGGATGCGGGACTTGATCCCAGGACTCCAGGATCATGACCTGAGCCGAAGGCAGTCGCTTAACCAACTGAGGCACCCAGGCGCCCTAACCTTATTTTTGTTTTTAAAAAAGAACATATGCATCCATATGGAGATGTGGGATATTTGAAAGGAATAGAAAGCTGGAAGGATACATGACAAATACAGTGAACTTCTGAGCAGTGAGTTGAGGAGAAGGCAGATAAAGACACTCAAATTTTCACTTTGTATATTCCTGTATTCTGCCTTTCTTAACAAGTATGTGTGTCTTTCCCATAAGCCACTCTTGATCTTCCTCTTCCACAGAAGTGCCCCAAATCCCATAAGCGTGCCAATGGCTGAGACCCAGAGAACCTCCTTTTGGAGGAATCGGCCTTCTGATCAATTTCCATTGCATGGGAGATAACATGTACCTCTGGCCTCTTCTCCCCATTGCTCCCTGGGAGAATCCCAGTGTGCAGTCTCCTGGGATGGTCCCCAGTGCCATGCATGGCAGGCCTCTCACGGGATGTGCCTGATCTGCAGCCTCTGCCTTAGCAGGCCCAGTTCTGCCCGTCAGTAGCCGCCCTGCTCCCCATGCTGCCACTCTTCGGTCTCCAGCAGGAAAGGGGCCGGGGGGCGTGGAGTGGGCGGAGAGCAGGTGGGGAGCTCCAGCCCTAGGCCCAGACCTCAGGTTTGGAGCCTAGCCCCTATCACAAGCTTTGTGACCCAGGGCGAGCCGCAGAACCTCTCCAAGCCCCAGTTCCTGCATTTATAAAGTGGGGACCCTAGTACCAACATAGACAGTGGTTGTGAGGCCGAGATTGCACCTAAGTGCTCAAAAAGTAGTCAGGGTTTTCTCCTGGGCAGTTTTTGTGCTTTGTACCTTGCATGTTATCTCATTTTAAAGCAGTTGCTTCCCAGGGCACCTGGGTGGCTCAGTCGGTTAGGCGTCCGACTCTTGATTTTGGCTCAGGTCGTCATGATCTCAGGATCATGAGATTGAGACCCGAGTTGGGCTCCGTGCTGTGTGTGGAGTCCGCCTGGGGTTCTCTCTCTCCCTCCCCCTCATATATATATATGTATAAATTGCTTCCCAGGGCAAAAGAACGTTATTCTAGTGGTCTGTGGAATATGCACGCACTTCAGAGTCTGATAGAGGAAGGTCCAGAGCTGAGGTATCACGTCACAGAAAATGGGTCTATTTGGATGGAGCGATTTTGCCCGGTAAGGAACCAGCCACGACAAGTGGCCACTAGGTGTCAGCCTTGTGTCACGTTGTGCAACAAGGCCAGCCCTGCAGCGGATGATCGTACCCTTCCCCAGGGCTTGCCAGCTCCTGGGCTGTTGCCGGAGCCCGAGCCCTCACCGTAGGAAAGACAGGGCTTCCTGGATCCTTTTCAGCTGCCTTAAATAGGGTTCCATGAATAATTAATTCAATAACAGTCATCATTTATTTCCTCTAAAATTGCCCTGTAAAATGCTGATTCCAAAAAATCAATCTCCTTTGGTTGTCGTGTGGATTCTGTGAGCGCCTGAGGTCAGGACTTTCCATCTGCTCTCCCCACTGCCACGTGGTCGCCCGCACAGCGCTTGGCAGGTGGTGGGTGCACGGTGAGCCGGCCGTGGCCGAGGGGAGGAGCGAGCTGTGCACACGGAGCGGGAAGGTGGTGCAGCGGTTAAGTGTGCGGGCTCGGGCGCCAGGTTGCCGTGGTTCTGGCTGCAGTGTTTCAGGGGCTGTGTGACCTCGGACAAGTTCCTTCACATCCTTGTGCCTCGTTTGTAAACTGGGGATAATGACAGTACCTGCTTCAGAGGGTGTTGTATTAAAAGAGTTCACTTAAAACAATGCCTGGTGCACAGTTATTATATTCCTGTATGTGCCATTTATATGGTATCAGGCCCTCAGGAAAACTCCCAAATAGGGCCAGAGGTCCTGACTTCTCCATTTAACAAATTGTCTTTTTCCAGGGAAGCCTATGTGACAGATACTGGCCCGAAAAATCGAGCCAGTATCTCCTGATCCACATGCTCCTCTAGAACCTTGCCACTCCGCCATCAAGAGGTAGAGTCTCATCCTCCACCCATTGAATGTGGGGTGCTTATGACTCCCTTGTAACTGATATAATGTGGCTGAGATAATGCTGTGTGGCATCCATGGCTAGATCTTAAAAGGCAAGGCTGCATCTGCTTTGTTAGCTGGAACACTCACCTTTGGAACCGAGCCCCGGGTAAGAAGTTAGGCCAGCCTAAGGCTGCCATGCCGTGAGGCAGCCCAAGGCCACATGGTGAGGCCACATGTACCTTTCTCAGCCCTAGCTGAGGTCCCAGCCAGCAGCCAGCATTGACCGCCAGATAAATGAAGAGGACAGACATCTCCGAGTGACCCCAGCCGTTGAGTGGCCCTGAGCTGTCAGGTCTTTTTGCTGAGGCCCAGATACCGTGGAACAAAGACGAGCTATGCCCCCTGTGCCCTTCCAATTCCTAACCCACAGAATTAGGATAATAGTAATGGTTATTACCTGTGTTTAGGGTGGTTTGTTAAAACAACGGACAGGATTACTAGACAGTGAACATATATATACTAACATACATGCTAAGCATAGTACATATATCCTGAAGGTCTCTGCCTCTCCTAAAAGGATGGGCTCCACATCCGCCTCAGTGACTGTGTAACATTGTCAGTCCCCTGCCTAAAGTCTCCTTGCTGAGAAATCCTGTCTGCTCCCTTGCCTGATCCATCGGTCTTTATAACCAACCTCTCTGTGTCCAAATTAAAGCAGAAGTTGTGGCTGAAGTCATTAATAGGATTCCTGCCCAGAGAGGCCCCTTCCTGGAATAGCCAGCAGGTTGTCCCTGCACAGTCAGGTTGAAGGGGGCAGACTTGGCTGGGGGCAGAACCCCTGTGCGGCCACCTCCATCACCTTCAGGACTGTTGACCAGCTCAACTTCCACAGGAGCTGGGTAAGAGATGGCAGACCCCGCGTAGTCACTGTATGGCGGGTACTAATTTCCCCCAGAACAGCTCTGTGAGGGAGTCTCATCGCCCCTTCCGTGTAGACGAGAAGGCACGTGGGCACAGAGGGTAACAAGCGGAGCAATGGTGAGTTCGTGGCGGGGCTAAGCTCAGGGCCCAGGCCCCCAGCCAGGAAGCTGGGCTGCCCTTACTGGAGCTAACAGTTTTTACTGATCTGTTCTTCAAGTCAGTCATGGGATGTAAACTTCAAAAAGCAGGAATGCCTATCTAGTAAAAATAGTCTCCCCACCAAGGACCTAGGCAAAGGACTGTTACATTCTTTAACAGTAAAAACAACTTCCTTTTATTGTGCCCTCACTGTGTGCCAGGTACTGGGCCAAGTACTTGATACATAATCTGTTACCGTCCCGATAACCTGGGGAAGTCGTTTTTAACCCCGCTTCGCAGATGAAGAAATGGCAGGGCGGAGGACGTCGATGCCAGCCAGCAGGGTCCGGGTGCACGCTCCGGCCCTTCTCTCTGGTCCAGGGGCCAACGTGGCAGCAGCTGGGAGCTCGTTAGAAACGCGCAGCGTGGGACCGCACTTCTGTCCTGCTCAATCCCAATCGGCCCTTTTTCTCAGGACCCATCCCGGGGCTGGGGGCTTGTGTAGTTTGAGAAGCTCCACCGGCCTCCCCTGGCCCTTCTGGAAGATGTCTGTCTTAACCTACACGCCCCGCCGTGGGGCACACAGAGGAGCCCCACCAGGAACCTTCTGAGGACTGGTTTGCAGAGTGAACTCCCCACTGGGAGCTGAGACGTAAATCTGGTTTCTAACTCTCAGAAATCCCACTGCTTCAGGACAGGTGCAGCCTGAAGTGGTAATAATGCCACACAGAGGTGCTGATTACGTGCCAGGCACTCGCCTATTCTTACTCCATGAATCCTCAAAATAGCCTTGAGGAGACAGGTACTGTTATCCTGTTTTACAAATGAGAAAACTGAGAGCAGAGGTAGTAAATAATTTGCCGAAAGTCCTACAGCCAGTAGGTGGAGGGGCCTGGATCTGAAGCTTCATTGCTTCCGGATGGTGAGCAGGGGCTTAAGTTCTCTTGCACGTGATCAGTAGGATTTCAGACACGCCTCTGGACAGTCCCACTTTCCGATATGTGCTTTTGACACTTAGCCTCCCACCCCTCACAGGTGTTTTTTTGAAGGAACTCGCTCTCCATCCTAGGAGTACCTGTCTGCCTCAGAGCAAGTGGTCAGAGATCACCTGCGAGAAAAGCTGCATCAAGGGGTTCCCATCCCTTAAAAAAGAACCGTGTCGGGGCACCTGGGTGACTCAGTCGGTGAAGCGTCTGCCTTCGGCTTAGGTCACGATCCCAGGGTCCTGGGATCGAGTCCCACGTCGGGCTCCTTGCCCAGCGGGGAGCCTGCTTCTCCCTCTGCCTCTCCTCCCATTTGTGTGTGCGTGCGCGCGCTCTCTGACAAATAAATAAAATCTTTTTTTTTTTTTAGATTTTATTTATTTGACAGAGACACAACGAGAGAGGGAACACAAGCAGGGGGAGTGGGAGAGGGAGAAGCAGGCCTCCTGCCAAGCAGGGAGCCCGATGCGGGCCTCGATCCCAGGACCCTGGGACCATGACCTGAGCCGAAGCCAGACGCTTAACGACTGAGCTACCCAGGCGCCCCAAATAAAATCTTTAAAAGAAAAAAGAACCCTGTCATGAGCAGTGACTCAGCACCTCTTAGATTTGATGGTGGGGCCGGGGAGGGCTGCCAGAGCCATGCCTAGCGAAGTACTTACATCCACGCTGAGAGCTTCAAAAACTGAACATTAAATGAAAAGGATCGCCTCCCATGTCAGCTCTGTGAGCCCCTGCACTTTTTGGAAAGAGGTCAGGGGTCAGATTACACACCAGCTGTCAAAACAAGGAAGTCCTTTGCTCTATTCTAGGATACTCTCAAGACTTTGTAAAGCATTCCAGAGAAACCTTCTAGAGTTAAGCTGCTGGAATAAAACAATTACACTGGTGCCGGGCCATATAACACTGTCAGCAAGTGTGCTAGCAGGACTTTTGTTCTTGACTAAGATAAAGTGAACAGGCCCCATTCAAGGAGTAGGCTTAGGTTGCTAAAAGTCCCACCCCAAACCCATGCACCTGGCTTAGGGACAAACAGAAAGAGGTGGGCACGGGAGAGGGAATGAGGCAGGGCACGCTGAGGCCCCCGTGTCGTTTAAATGTAGTTCCCTAACACGTGTAGGATGAAGTGTGCCACACACAAGGCATGAAGACTTATCAGTGAACATCCGCAGACCCAGCACCCAACCCGAGAAAACATTCGGGTCCCCTGTGTCGCCTCCTCATCCCTCCTCGCACAGTTAACCAGGATCCTAAGTTTGGTGTGTTTCTTGTATTGTTCTGGAGTCTTTTTTTAAAGAAAACGGAGAGGAAAAAGTGAACAGGGCTGGAAGGAAACAGGCTCCAGTGTGATGAACCCAGCCGCAAACCTCCCTGCCAGTGGTGAGACTGGCTCAGTGTGGCCGAGGGGAGAATACTGAAGAGTCTGGAGAAAAAGCAGATGTAGAATGTACCTTTTATTAAGTAGAGAAAAATGGGAAATCTACTACGTGATACAAAGTTTCCAGTTTGAGCAAAGTCCACAGAAGCCCTTCCGATTCCCGCGTGCCTCTAGCAGGGGAAACCACTGCCCCCTCAGCACAGGGACACGTGGGAAACGGCTTCCGGGAGCTGATCACGCAAGCACGCACGTGCTCGCCTCCTGCTCGGCTCCTAGAGGCCGGGGCAGAGGGCATGGTGCTCCTCACAGAGCTTCTTTGCACGTACACTCACGTGACTTTTTCAGGAGTCTCTTATGAGACTATTTTAAAAGGTCTGAGCAGAGAGGAGGGCGGAGGGCTGTGTAAGCAGTGTCGGTGGCAAGTGGAATGTTCCAGTCCGGGGAATCGCGGCAGGTGACAGGTCTGATCAGGCATTGTATGAAGAGGACGACACGCTGCCACCGTGGCCCGTCCAATTAGTGTGGATAAACTGCCCGGGTTTGGCTAAGAGTTCATAAGTGTGAGCTCCAAAGTAATCCCGCTGAGCCTGAAAACAAGAAGTCAAATTGGTTGGGATGATACATGGACAGGCCGCCGTCAGGCAGCAGCCAGGTTAATGTTTACCACCTGCTCAGAAAGCTCACCTGGATGAGGTTGGCCGGTAGCATCTCGTGTCTGTATCCGTCGTAGAAGGACAGGGCCGTGGTGAAGCAGGGCATGGGGATGCCCGCCTGGACCCCGGTGCTCACTGCCCGCCGCCACGAGCCCTGTGGCAAAACAAGCCCAAGCCTAGAAGTCAGCCCCCCAAGAACTGCTTCCTTTCTAAGTGACAGAATTCCATATGCACCGAGGCTGGGAAGTGAAAAACAAAATTCCCAGCACCCAGCTCTGGGCTACCTACCTGGCAGTTTTCAACAGCTGACTTAAAAAAGTCATCTAGTAGCAGATTCTGAAGTTGTGGGTTCCGACCAAACGCATCCTTTATCTTTCCTAGGAACACGCTGAAATGATCAAGAGGGAAGCAATCGTGACTCTTAACCTGAGCACGCCGAACACCCGACAGAAAGCAGCTGACACATACCCTAGTGACGTACAGAGTTACTCCTCATCCCTGACAGCCAGTGGTTCGCTCGGGGACAACAGGGGGCCTGAGGCCCAAGAGGCAAGGCCAGAGGGTGTGATCGTTCTCACAGAACTACTCTATAGGGTACAGACGATCTAGTCAGAACAGGTAACGTACAGGAAGAAAGTGGGACATGACCATCTAAACCAGTCTTGTCGCCAGTGCAGAGACCCACCGCACCACTCCCAGGGCAACTGTCCACACAGGCGCAGAGACCACCACTCTCCGACACGGTGGCTTGGCGTGTGCCCCGCACTCACCTCCTGATGATGCAGCCCCCTCTCCACATTAGGGCAATGCCACCATAGTTGAGGGTCCAGCCAAATTCCGTGGCCGCCTGTCTTAGCAGCATAAAGCCTTGCGCATACGAGATGATCTTGGAAGCATAGAGGGCCTAAAGAATGACAGACCCACCAGAGCTAGAGTTAGCCACGTCCTCCCCACCAGCAGTGCGGATCTTAGCAGGGCCAGTGGTAACAGGACAGGGCTCTGCTGCCCCCACCTGGGCCTCCCACGTCCTCCCACCCCCACTGTCACCCGAGGCACCAACGACCACGGCCAGGGACTGGGCCCCACCTTCCGAATATCCTCCAGGAATGCTTTCTTATCACCTTCAAACTGGATCTTCTGGGGACCCTTCAGCTTTTTGCTAGCCTGAATCCTCTCGTCCTTCAGCGATGATAAGCATCGAGCAAAAACGGCTTCTCCTGCGTAGGGGAAGGGATAACATTACCAAAGTTCACTCATAAAACCGAAGGGAAGAGAGTACACGTAAGCCAGAAAGAATGAGGAAAATCAGAGAAGGAGCTGATTTTCAATTGCAAAAAGAGCTGAAGTTTCAACCTTAGGCCACAAAATTTAACCTGGCTCAGAAAGAGTTTTGAACTTATAAAAAGCTATAGACAGTTAACTTGATAACTAAAACTCCTTTAATCAAACTAACTTTGATTGACTAAAACAAGTCAATCTTCCAACATAAATGTAGGGTATCAATCACAAAGATCAACATGAAATTCAAAAGGGGACTTCTGAGCGCCTGCCAGCCTCAGTTGGTGGAGCCTGCGACTCTTGATCTCGGGATTACAAATTCGAGTCCCATGTTGGGTGTGGAGATTACTTAAAGTCTTAAAAAAAAATAAAAGGGAGGAGTTCTAGGGAAAAAACAAGGAAGTAAAAAACCACTTTTATTCAGAATTGCTCTGTTAGTCCGTATGTAAAATTTCAATTTCACTTGAGAGGACTTTTAATTTTTAAATGCTCACCAAAGACTCTCTTCTTGAGAAGCACTCACTACCCCCTTGAAAACTAGTTAACATCAGGCAGCCTTGGAATTCAGCTAGATGCTCAACTACGGTGGCACTGCCTTGATACGGGGGTTGTCTGCAACAGCTAGTACATTGAGAAATAACAGACTCGCCCCTCAGAAAACTCCATTTTTTTTTTTCTTTATAAAGATTTTATTTACTTGACAAAGACACAGTGAGAGAGGGAACACAAGCAGGGGGAGCAGGAGAGGGAGGAGCAGGCTTCCGGCGGAGCAGGGAGCCCGATGTGGGGCTCGATCCCAGGACCCTGGGATCATGACCTGAGCCAAAAGCAGAGCCTTCTGACTGAGTCACCAGGTGCCCCCAAAACTCCATTTTCTAATTATTAAAATTTAGTTTCCAGTACATCCTTGATCACCATAATTTTGTTTCATTTGAATAAACATTTCAATATGGTATTTTTTTTTTTAAAGAGTTTGTTTATTTGTCAGAGAGAGAGAGAGAGAGCGCAAGCAGGGAGAGAAGCAGGCAGAGGGAGAAGCAGGCTCCCCGCTGAGGAAGGAGCCCGACATGGGGCTTGATCCCAGCACCCTGGGATCATGACCTGAGCCGAAGGCAGACACTTAACCGACTGAGCCACCCAGGCACCCCTCAATATGGTATTTTAATATCAAGACATTTAGCATCTTCAGAATCAGCCCTTTGAAAAGACAACTTGCTCAACTGACACTTTATACAATTAGAATAAATTACTCTAACTAATCCTCCCCCCACAGACAAACTGGAGTAAAACCTCTGGCCATTCACTTGACAGGCCGCCTAAACTCGGAACACAAGCCAGCTCCGGCGGGCGGCTCGGGGGCCCCGCCCCGCCTGCCTTGCTCGCGCACGCGCACGCGGACCGGGCACCGGGGCAGAAGCGATGGTGTAACACAGCGGGCGTACGGAGGCCATGTTACCCAAGGGTCAGCTGGAAGACTTCCTTCCCCATTAGTTCAACAAACACGAAGGGCACCCACCCAGGGCTGAAGCCTGGCCTGCCTCGGGCGGGGAGAAGGGGCGTACGAGAGCAGGGCTCTCGTTGAACCTAGTCTGGGACGAGGGCCGTTCCCCGCCGCCGTGCCCTCGCTGCCCTGGCCCTCGCTGGCTAAGCAGCCCGCTTCTCCCCACGTGCCTCCCGGCACGGCCACTGGCAGCAGGGAGCCTAATTCATAGGAAATGAAAAGGAGGGAGCGGGCTAGGGCGGCCGAGCAGACAGGAAAATCTGTTTTACTGGAGGGGCGCCCTTCTGCCAGGAGCAAAGATGAGCCTTTCGCTCGGCAAGCTAGGCACCTTGTTTTACTGACCGTTCTCAATCCTGCCAGAAGTGTACCTAGTTTACTCTTAAAGGACCAGCTTGTTTTATGAATCCTCTTATTATTTGTTCTGTTTATTTCTGCTTTCTGTGATTTCCTTCACCCTGTATCTTCTCGAGTTTGATGCTTAGCTCACTGCTCTAAAACAACATGCGAGAGAAGGACACACAAGTGGTCGGGATAGTGGCTTTCTTCTAAATGAAGAACGAAGGAAGAGAATATTAAAGGACCTGAAACGTTTAGGTAATATTTTATTTTTAAAATGTCTGGAGGAAGGGCGCCTGGCTGGCTCAGTAGTAAGAGCATGTGACTCGATCCCAGGGTCATGAGTTCAAGCCCCACATAAAATGAAAAATAAAATACTGGGGGGGAACCTAATCAAAATATTAACAATAAATGCTGAGGATGTAAGCTTCTGTCGTTCGGTGAACTTCCGTATGAACAATTTCGTTACCGGGATCTTCCGCATGGAAAATCATGGAAGTCACTGACCACAGCTCAAGCCCTAAGACAGAAGCTACCCCGAAGGTCGAGCTACATCAGAGAGCCAGGAGCTCCCAATCGCATCTCAAAGCCCGTATGACTGAGAGAAGCCTATCAGGCAGAGATCTGAGAGTGTCAGCCTCTCACACAGGAGGAGCAGAAAGCACTGAACGCTGATGAGGGCTGCACACGTTCTCCTGAAACCCCGGCGCTCAGTGGCCGGTCTACCCCAACACCCCAGAAGGGCAGCAAGAGCGCAGCAGCGAGGCGAGGGGCCTCCACACCCCAGAAGGGCAGCAAGCGCGCAGCAGCGAGGCGAGGGGCCTCCACACCCCAGAAGGGCAGCAAGCACGCAGCAGCGAGGCAAGGGGCCGTGGCTGAAGCCGCACGTTACCGATGAGCGTGACGGGAACGCCGTACTCCAGGGCAGAGATGGCAGTCCACTTCCCTGTGCCCTTCTGCCCCGCGCTGTCCCTGATCTGCGGCAGCAGGTGTTTGCCGTCGCTGTCTTGGAACTTGAGAATATTGGCCGTGATTTCAATGAGGAATGAGTCGAGCTCTGTCTTATTCCATTCCTCAAACGCCTAGTGCAGGACGGGAGAGGAAACAGCGTGAGAGAAACCAGGCCCACGCACGAGCCCCCTGCCCCGCGAAGAGGGACCGGCGCTCACCACCTGCCCCGCCCTCCGGGCCAACAGGCTCCGCGTCAGCGTCTGAGCCCGGCTCCCCGCGAGCTGAGTTTTCTGTCCACCACGAGTCAGCTGTGTTTGATCTGAGCCTGGTTATGCTGAATGATGACCAGCGCGGCTCTCCCCTCAGAGCTAAGCGCTCCTCACCTCACACCATCGCCTCTTCGGAGGCCTTCCCTGCTCACCTGACCTACCCCTTACACCCGTTTCCTCTTCTTCGGAACAGTTACCGCCACCTAGTTTTACACTGTCTGTGGGGTTACTATCGTGTCTTCCCAGCTCTGTGCGGGCAGGGACTTGGGTTTTTTCACTATTACATCCCCAACATCTAGAACAGTTGCTGGCATACAGAGCAGCACTCGTATATATAAATACATTAAGTTTTAAGTAAATCAATTACATTTGAACACAAAAAAAGAAAAGCACTGTTTCTATGAACATAAAGTTAAACTTTTGGAAAGGAGTAAAGGCAAGTCAGTGAAACAAAGTGGGGATGACAGGTTTAAAAGTTAGAAGGAGGGACGCCCAGGGGGCTTGGTCAGTGGAGGCTGTAGCTCTTGATCTTGGGGTTGTCAGTTCAAGCCCTACATTGGGTGTAGAGATTACTAAAAAAATAAACTTTAAAACAAAAAAATTAGGAGGAAAAACTGTAAAAAATCTGGAAGGATTCTGCAGTGTCACCTTGCAAAAAGTGTCCCTGGGGCGCCTGGGTGGCTCAGTCGTTAAGCGTCTGCCTTCGGCTCAGGTCATGATCCCAGGGTCCTGGGATCGAGTCCCACATTGGGCTCCCTGCTCGGCGGGGAGCCTGCTTCTCCCTCTCCCACTCCCCCTGCTTGTGTTCCTGCTCTCGCTGTCTCTGTCAAATAAATAAATAAAATCTTTTAAAAAAAAAAAAAGTGTCCCTAAATCATGTTCCACTCAAAGTCACTGGAAGTAGGAATTCTAGATGATGAGAAAGACAACTATGATGCTGTCCAGCAGAGCCACACTTCGAAGAAAGGACTGGAATGGTGATGAATGTGCCTTCCTCTATTTTCAGTGAAAATAAATGTTTACCTAGGAACGATGCTGAGGTCTTTAGAGAAAAGAGTACTGGTGTTTACCTCGAAATGTATTTTTAGAAGATCAAACTGATAGAGGGATGGGCAGACATTCAATAAAGCAAGTGTAGTAAAATGCTAGTAGGTGAATATGGGTGGTGTGCATACAAGTGTTCACTACCAAAGTCTTTCAACTTTGCTGTGTGTTTGAACATCCGGTTCATAATAAAATGCTGGGGGGAATGTTTATGTTTCCCCCACTTTGGCTAACTTTTGATTAACTGTCAAACAGCCAGTCCCAACCTGACCAGGAAAGCAAGCTTCCAGCCTGCCTCTCCTATGGGACAATGGGGGGACCAAATGAGGTAATGACCATAAAAGGACACAGGCCTGACACATGAAGGGTCACTAAATGGTGGTAATGATCACCGCCAAGATTTTCGGGGGACTTCTGGCTCAGCGGCTAGCTATCCTATCGTACAGCTTTCCCTTAAATCAGGCTGAGTCCATTCTTTTTTTTTTTTTTTTTTATTTGAGAGAGAGAGAGAGAGAGCACAAGCGGGGGAGAGGGAGAAGCAGGCTGCCCACTGAGCAGGGAGCCTGACACTTAACTCAAATCATGACCTGAGCCAAAGGCAGACGCTTCACCGACTGAGGCACCCAGGTGCCCCTGGGCTGAGTCCATCCTGCCACCAGCATGACCACAGGAAGGAGGCAGAAGAAGGCTTTACTGTTGCTAGCAAATCCCTCTCATCTGAGCAGCGGTCACCTGCTGTAGCCCAGAGGCAGGGCCCGGGACTCACCTTTGCCATCTCGTCATGCCCCATGCCCAGCACATCCTTCATCAGGTGGTAAGCCTCACAGATGAGCTGCATATCCCCGTACTCGATCCCATTGTGCACCATCTTCACAAAGTGTCCTGCTCCTTCATCTCCCACCTGTCAGGGCGACGAGCACCAGGAGGCCTTCAGAGGCAGGTAATAACCCAGAAAAGCCCGCATCATATTCTTTGGCGAGGCTCCCTCCCCATACAAAAAATAACAAATAGGGAGCAAGTATCTGTAGTATTTTTAAATTAAGCGTCACTAGATAACAATTCAATACAAGCTTCAATCCAGTCCAGTGTTCCTTCAAACGCACTCTGAATTCGTTCAAGATTTTTCCAAGCCTCCCATTCACTGTAAGCACCCACATCTCGTCAGCCTGCATTTCCCACCCTCCCTTGTTATGAAGGGCCCCTTGCTCCCAGCCCTGCCCACAAGTGAAAGACCTCCTCTTCCCGAGGTCACCATTCTCCTAGCCACTGGGGGTTAAAGTTGGCTAATTAAATCACTGGCACTGTTAAGTATATAACTGTGCTGTAGTTGTTTCCAATGGCTACCGGGGGGTAAAATGACCTTAGATCCCAGGTCTGGCCCTCAACCTGGTAAGCCCAGAAATGTGTTCTTGCCAGTGTCTCACAGTTGACAAGATACAGATTTATAGTAAAGCTGGCAAGATGTATACAGTCAGAATGCCAGTTTATGAACTTAGGGTAAGAAACTTAACTACGGATTTTAGTGGCTACAAGCGTTAGTCCCGACGGCACATTCTGTCCCTACAGACGAGCTGCGCAGGAAACCAAATCATCTGAGAATTGCTCAGTGGGCCACGAATCAGAACAAAGGGAGTTTCAGGGTCAAATATTCAGTGACAACAGACTCTGCAGTCAGGCGCATCCATCTCCACAACAGGCATCTACCTGCGCAGTGGCCCCGAGGTTTGCTTGATCTGAGCGGTCTCTGCTCTGTCACCACTGGGATCCATACAATTGACCTTTACATCCAAGACTCCCACCCTCTGAGTTTCCACTGCCGACCTGCCCCCTTCTGATTCTGACACCTTCTTTGGCTGCTAAGTAACATGGCTCATAAGATCCTACTTCTTCACCCCATCATTCCTGTAACTTCAAGAGTGAACTCAGGAGTGCCTGCTTTTATACCAGTTTTCTCAACAGCCTGAGAGTAAGCCTGAGGCTGAAGAACGTCAAGCACCGACTCGATCAAGACACAGCAGGGCCAGTACTGGTTTTTCTTCATGATTCTGTTGTCTACAAGAAACGTGTCTACAAAGGAGTGACTGTGGCTGTCCTTTTACTATAGTAATCGACTGTCATGGCCTGAAAGTTCCCTGCCCCGTCAATACTGAGAAAATCCTCAACCCTCCAAATCCAGCCCAGCCTCTCTCCACCCTAGGCAGACTTTGCCTGACTCGGGCACCACTGGTTAAGACGTCCGGACCAGCATCGGGGGCTACAGCTGCCGTCAGGCCTCCCCCCATTCCTCGTCCACCTCAGGCCTCCTTCTGTCTCTGCCTTCTACCTCCCTCATACAAAATAAAACTAATAAAGGGGATTAGGAGCAAAAGAGACCCTGGAGACCACCCAGCCCACCCCTCATATTTTACGGACAAGAACACTTTTCTGACTGACTCGATAATGTCCCACAGTGAATGGAGAGCCGGAATTACAGGTCAGGTCTCTCAGCCTAGTGCTTTGCCCGCCCATGGCATGGACTGGGGCTGCAGGAGGGATAAAACTGATTTTGGTAGCAACACAAAATGCAGAAAGGGAGGCATATACGGATGAGCCTAGGCCTCCCTCCCGTTTCGTGAAGGCGAAAAGGCCATACGTCGCATACTCCGTTCAAGCACAGAATACCTGCGTCCCAAGCTACAGGAAAGAGATTTTCCACATCCGTGGCCGGGACATCTGACAGCACCAGCCCTTCAATCCCCCTCCTTCCATGCAGGCAGACGGAGCCCACCTTTCATTCTGACATTTTCTTCACTTTCATGAAGTCACACAGCTAATAAAACAAGTCACGCTTCACCTCATCCTTGCTGTGCCTTCTTAAGAAATCCAACTTTTAGATGAATTGAGGAGGGCGGTTTCTAATACCAACCTCAAGGCTCTGAAATATTCAGTTAGGAGGCAAGGACACGGGAAACAGGAATGCATCCTAGGCCTCAGCTGCGCTAGCGACTTCAAGATTGAGAAGCTTGTCACAAAACTAATGACTGCCACCAGGCGGTCCTGGCTCTGTGCTCTGTCATGTCCGCGCCCATGTTACCAGCTGGCTTGAAAGAGGAGCCAGAACTTGCCCAGTCACAGCAGGGTTCCCCCGTCCCGACTTTCGCAGCGATGCCTTGGAAGATTGTCTTGATGTGGGGCCTGTGGGAAGGAACCACGTAGTTTAGCTGCTGAAAAGAGGGACTGAGATCTCAGTTAAATAGTCAAGGACCTCCCCGCAATCTTTTTCTTTTGAATGGGAGGTGGAAGTGCCAAGTCCACATGGAAAAAGTAATCAATGTGCCAAGTCCACGTGGTAAGCCCCGCAGAGGCTGCAGACCATCTGGTTGGAGAAGACAGAAAGGCCAGCCAGAAGCATCCAAGTACCAGGAGAAATTTCTTTTGCACTATAAAAGGAGCTGTGATGCCAAACAGCAAGCAACAGGGAAGTTCCCGTGGAGACGCCTGTTACCGGTCTGGATGCATGTTATCAGGCACAGCATGATTCCGCATGCGCACGCGCAGAACCGAGCCGGAGTTCCCAGGGCAGCGCTCTTCGTTAGTACTTGGAGAGAAAGCAGCTGTTCTTCACCCCTCCCACTGCCCCCCAGGGGGATCTGTGAACTCACAAGGCTTTCTGCTCATGTTCTCCTCACTACTGCCCAATAAAGGCTTCTCCACAAGAAGTGTTTGGTAAAGGCACAGGGCTGCCAGGGTTGCAAAGTGAACGCTCGGGACTAGAGCTAAGACAGCTGCACGTTAAGCTTTAGAACTTCACTGAACTCGTACTGTGCATTTCGGGCCACGGCACCACTCCTACTTCTGCTGCGGCTCGATCTCACCAGCCTGAGACCATGAGCTGAGCCTAGATCAAGAGTTGGACGCTTGGGCACCTGGGTGGCTCAGTCGTTAAGCGTCTGCCTTCGACTCAGGTCATGATCCCAGGGTCCTGGGATCGAGTCCCACATCGGGCTCCCCGCTCCGGGGGAGGCCTGCTTCTCCCTCTCCCACTCCCCCTGCTTGTTCCTGCTCTCGCTCTCTCTGTCAAATAAATAAAATCTTTAAAAAAAAAAAAAGAGTTGGACGCTTAACCAACTGAGCCACCCAGGTGACCCCGTTTTAAACACTATATTAACGATCATTCCTATTACTTTTAGCAAACAATTTGAATGAGTCTTATATATGCTTAAGTTTGCCAGATCGGTCTGAGAGAATGAGGCAATGAGCAACTGGAGCATCTCTGCATTATCAAAGATTTTCATGTGTATCATCTGCATGTCTAGCCCAAGATAAATGTTTGTAAACTATTGAGAAGCAGGAAGGCCTCTATCTACTTCTCGATTTCACAAACTGCAGGGGCACCTGGGTGGCTCAGTGGGTTAAGCATCCGACTCTTGATGTCCGCTCAGGGCCGAGGAGATTAAGCCCCATGTTGGGCTCCGCACTCAACGGGGAGTCTGCTTGTGCTTCTCTCTCTCCTCTCCCTCTGCCTCTCCCCCTGCTGACACATGCTCTCTCTCCTCTCTCTCAAATAAATAAATATATAAAATCTTTAGATTTCACATACTGCAGAAAATCCCCGAACTTACTCATCAGAGAGGTAATTTAAAGAATAACCTTCCCCAGGAAACCCTTCACCTCTGGGAATTAGATTTGATCACTCCTTACTTCAACTCCTAATATAATTCTAGCATATTGGAAATCAAACTCATTTAGGAAAGAATGGTACCTTTCCACGTCTCCCTCAAAAGGATCCCTCCTTTTGTGTTTCTTTCTCTTCTGCTTACCTCCCTCCCTCTGTCTGGCTCACCTCTCTGCAAACTGAGCAGCGGGTTTCCCTCAGTCTGCGTCAGGCGTGGTTATTACTTGCACCTTTTCACTTCGATTCTCTGTCCTGCTCACCCCCCACCCTTATGCCTTATGCACCCCACCCCTGCTCTTACATCACCACCGCACCCTCCCTTCTATGACTAGCATTTCCTCTTACATACAGCACAGTGCACAGTGTAAAACTTGTCTTCTCCCCAAGTAGATAACAAAACTTCCACCTCACTCTCCCAGGGACAAAACAGGCCCTGTCAGATTTTTCCATTACTCACGATTATTAAATAAAGTTATTTTAGGACTGTCCATCACTTAGAGAGGCAGACTTTACTTCTAAGTCCAGACAGTGCCCAGGACATTATTTGAACGGCTTCCTTAAAGCCCCTGAACTTGGTAGGCCTGTTTAGAGCTTCCAGTATCAGTCTTGGAGGGAATAACAGAGGAGGCAAAAGAGAATATGCACATACAGGATATCAAAGCAGCAAAATGTAGAGACAAAAGAAGTGTTTCCAGCATCTCCACCACTCAGGGGCCACAGAGATCAGCACTGCCCATGGCTCACTCCCCTCACAGCTCAGGCTCCCTTGTGCTGAAGTGGGGGGTGGCACCTCTGATACCCACCAGGCTTCTTTGTCCCCTCCTGGCATAAGTGAGGGGCCATACCGGGCCCCCTCCTCTCCACCACTGACTCCGCTCCCCACAAACAGGATGCCCTTGGCCTTGAGGTCGCGACATCGTCTCTATATGAGAGAAAAATAATTTTGTTGTGCTTCCATAAGACAGTTTCTCCCGATGAATGAGAAGAGGTATAAGACAGGTATGGAGAGCCCACACTGGACATGAAATGACCCCAGCATCCAAGAATAACCTGATCATTCAAGAAATTGTATCCCAGGGTGCCTGGCTGGCTCAGTGGTAGAGCATGCAACTTGTGATCTCAGGGTCATGAGTTCAAGCCCCACATTGGGTGTGGAGCCTACTAAAAAGAAATAAATAAACAATTTTAAAAAGAAATTTAATTCCCTCAGTTTGGGAGTTAAGGAAAAAAAAAATCCAGGGAGCCTGGCTGGCTCAGTCAATAAAGCATGTGACTCTTGATCTTGGGGTTGTGAGTTTGAGCCCCATGTAGGGTATAGAAATTACTTAAAAAAAAAAAAAAAATCCATGGAAGTTTAAAATAGCTACCCTTCCCCCAAAGGGAAATAATAAATAAAGCCAAACATACAATCTCATTTTCCTGGAAGATCTAGTACCCTAAGACTCCATTAAGAGTTGGTGGGTTTTGAGGGGGGGGGTTGGTTTTTAAGAGTTGGTTTCATACAAGTATGACCTCCTGCCACTTAGCACTTGAGATGGTACAGGGTCTTCTTTCAGCCCACAAGGCCAGTAAAGCCATGGTTCTCAACCACGTTGTTCACTGACGTGTCATGGCTGCTGGCAGAGGAGGGAAGAGCTAAGCACAAACTGTCAGCCTGCTCTATCTGAGCAGAAGTCCTCCTTTTGAGTTACACGTATGACTGAGGAGACCTCAGGTACGTCTCAGCAGAAAGAGAGGCTGAGGGCTGCAGCGTCCGCACCAAGCTCTAGTATCAGCACTGCAGAAGGACGGTCCACTCTTTTATCACGTGTGCAATGCTGATACTTTTTTCTAGAATGTTCTCAGAAAGGAAGAATTTAGACTGAAGAATACTTACTGTGGTGTCCCTGTATTCAGAATTTCCTCCATCAATGATGATGTCACCAGTGTCCAACAATGGTACCTGTAACCAGACGCTAGCATTAAGGTGGGCCAAAGAAATGAAAGACAAAATAGACAGTACCTTGACCAATTAAAACAAACAAGAATTTAACCCAAATAAACCCAATCTAAAAGCACATGTTACTTAATTTTCAGTAATCCTCCCTGTGGCTAGAGCTGGAGCCTATGTGCAAGGTTAGGGCTTGCAAACCAGTTGGAACTCTCTGCAATGAAGATCGTTCTCTTTAAAATTTTACAACCAAAACCTACTTGAAAAATTTTGTATTTCCACTGTGTGCCACCGGATGCTTTACAGTCGCAAACCCTGGGAACAGGACTCATTCTAAAGGATCCCATCGTTTCCTATAAAATCTGCCCAGAGCAGGGTGGGGGTCCGGTAAGTGGCCATCAGCTGGTTTGGTGCCTGACTCAGTGATGTGATCAGCCCTGCCTGGAGATGGCAGAAGACCAGGCCTTGAACAAGCGCATCTTCCTACGGTGCACAACGAGGCTGGCTTTATTAGTTAATGAACATGACTTCATGTTTTCTTATGCTGAAGAATAAGCTACCACCTTCCAGGCCATTCTTTCTATAGCTAATCATGACCAGCTTAGCATCTCGCTACACAAAAAGCTTGGTATGTCCTCTCCTTATCACAGTGTTCTTCCTTTCTAGGTCATTTTTTTCTTTAAATGGTAGCACACTGGTTACAAACTCCTCTCCCTGCAGAACCACCCCCACTGTTAACAGGATTCCCGTAGAAAAGGAATGTTCATCCCTTGCCTTTGTTTATTGTCACTACATTCTCACAGCGAAACTGTTTCTTCCCATCAGCTAATGCCCTGGTTTTTTCCAGAGCTGTTACTGAAAATGGTTTTGAGTATCTTCGTAAGTTATTTCCACACAGGTTCCCCTTCGCCCGTATGCTGTGTGTGGTTTTGTGGGTTTTGTTGCAAGGAAAAGCACCCAAGGCTACAGGGCACCGGCTGCGAGCTTGTCTCCACTGACCCTCTGACTGTCGGCGAGGTGTGCTGAGGGGCCCCAGGGGTGCCCCAGAAACCACTCACAGCAACAGCGCTTCACCCCAGTGTTGCTGGCCACGCTCCCTGGGGAAGAACGTGTTGTCACTATTGGCTCTTCCTCTCCCACCGCCGTCCCAGTGGGAGAGTGGCCATCAGCCCCCCTGTGAGGGGACAGCCTGGTGGAGACCACACGGAGTAAGGAGTGAGCCCACCACCCCCTAGCCCTGGGGCCACGGGGGAAAGCCTACAGGAGGGGTCAGACTAAGATGTGTCAAGGAACCAGAATGAGCACCTGCACAGAGCACCCCTGCTTCAGCTGATGCTCAGGGTCAGAAGTGAACAGAGGCCCTCTCCGGGGCACCCACCCCGGGGGTCACCCGCCTGCCCTAGCGAGGCCACTGCAGCCCATACACATGTTTTTTCTCCCAAAAAATATACTTCCAAAAAATATATATACTTGCTAGAGACAACAAATCATTCAGATAAAGTACCCAGCATGTAATCCTAGGATTCCCTAAGGGGATCTCATCATTTATATTAAATTATACAACGACTTACATATGGTTACTTTATACAAATGCTGAAAAAAATCTACTTCTAAATTTGGACACTACGGTTTATTAGTGAATAGCACTAGACATGCATAATGTACAACCAAAACAGTAAGTTTTTTTGAATATCAAAGAGAGAGAGAGACCGAGACTACTACTGTTTCTGTTCCTACTGTTAATGAATTCTAATTGAAATGTCTCTTGGGGTCCCAGAATTTCACATATATGGAATTAGTACCACCTGAGGATATGTTGTGACTTAATTAGTGCCAATCAAGTTAACCAACACTGAGACATTGAGGCACTGTTTTGTCTGAACTAAGCAGTTCACATCCAGACCCTGAAGAGAAAAAAAAAAATCTCTTAAGAAAAAACTGGTGAAATAGCTGAAGGACTGAAGGAGAAAAGCTGCCCCCACCAGCAGCAGCCGGGAGCAGACCTAGCCTCACCAATTTGTCAATGAAATCATCAACAGCTTGACCAGCCTTCACGAGCAGAATGATCCGTCGTGGCTTCTTCAGCTTGGAGACCATCTCCTCCAAGGAGTGAGCACCAACCACTTTGGTTCCCTTTGCCTCATTGGCCAAGAAATCATCAACTTTGGAGACTGTCCTATTGAAAGCACAAACCTAGAAGGACAAAAGGTCTGATTAGGAGACCCAGAACACAGAAGACCTTCAGACCCTAGATTAAGTGGCAATGAAATGTCTACTCAGCTGCCTGAGGCAAATCAGGCTGGAGTCTGTCACTAGCTGATTGGGACTCAGACTCAAGCCAAGGAACCAGCTGCTGCAAACTGTTTATCTCTTGTCACCAATACTCTTTGTATCGAAACAAGCTTAGTGTTTATACTATTTAAAGTTTCACTCACCCCAGTTCTCATTAGACAATAAAGTTTGAGTTCTACGAACCCAGTGCGGATTTCTCCTCAAGATACGGTTAAGATGGGGCGCCTGGGTGGCTCAGTCAGTTAAGCGTCTGCCTTTGGCTCAGGTCATGATCTTGGGGTCCTGGGATTGAGCCCTCCTGGGCTCCCTGCTCAGCAGGGAGTGTGCTTCTCCCTCTCCCTCTGCCCCTCACCCCTGGCTGGTGCTTTCTCTCTCCCTCTCTCTCAAATAAGTAAATAAAATCTTAAAAAAAAAAAAAAAAAATCCGGGTAAGTTTATTCAGGTTGCAATCTTACAGATATATTTAGCAAGACTCTCCTTCAGAAAACGGTGGAGCTGCCCCTCCCCCCACGTGAACTAGTGCTTCTCCTTCCTTTGCAAAAACCTCATGAGCAGCAACAGGGAATATACCAAGAGAAGTAAGCTGCAGTTGTATAGGATCTTGGAAATCAACAGCGGTGCACCAATGCACACCAAGAACCCACAAGAGAAGTGTGTGTCCTCCAGACTTACCACAAAGCCATGGTCATTCATGTTCAAAATTAAGTTCTGGCCCATGACAGCCAGTCCAATCAGTGCAATGTCAGCTCTAAAAGACCAGGAAAGGGAATAACGAAAAATGTGTTAGTTCCACTTAATCCATTGCAACTCAGGGACCCAAGAGTGTCCTAGCTCTTGCTATGAATAATTTGCCTTCCCTGTTCCTCTGTCCCCTTACTCCCTTTCACCCTTGAGAACCCAGGCATGCACCTCCCAGGGCCCTACAGACAGGCCACCCTGCACTCTGCCACTTCAAAGGACCTCAAGTTCTCTTGAGGTCAACTAATCCTGCAGGAGGAGGGCACGCAATCTTTGCTGTGCTCCAGTCTACCCGGTAATGACTCATCGCGGGGGTCCTCCCCCGCCCACACTGGGGAGAAGCCCCTGCAGGCCCCGCCGCCGACGAGCCAGCCACTTCCCCAGCTCGAGCCCTGGCTTCCCTCGGCCATGCCGGTCCCCTCCCCGCCGAGCCCCTTCTGGAAACGGGGATCCGCCCGGCGCCGCCACGACGGGCAGCGGAGAGGACCTGGGCCCGACGGGCCTGAGACCCTGAAGGTCCGGGGCTCCGGGCGCCACGAGGCCCGGCTCCCGCGACGCCCGTGGTCAAGGCGACCTCAGGAGTAGCTCCGCCCTTCGCGCCGGGCCTCAGAAAGTTCCCCGGGCGTCCGCGGGCCGTCACTCACTGGGCCATGGCGGCGGCAGACTGGGTAGAAGTGGACGAAGCCGAAGAGCTGAGAGCGCGCGGCCCGTCTACTGAGGTGCAGTCGCGCTCCAGCACGGGCCCCCAGACCCTGGCCGCGGCCTTCCGGCGCCGACCAATCGGAAGGAAGGGGCGGAGCTGTGCAGCGACGCCATTGGCCCTCCCCCGCGCCTGTTAGACCACCTGAGGCAAACGGGCCCGCCCACTCCCGGGGGCAGGCTCAGGAGAGCGCCGAGCACATCGATGGCAACGCCGAAGCCGGCGGGGCGGGGACTCCTGGAACAAGCCCAAGGGGGCTGGGCGCGCGGTTGGGGCTCTAGAACAGGTGGAGGAGGCCGGGAAGGGAACAGGGGCACCCGGGACGGGCACAGAGGCCTGGGAAGGGCGCGGGCACAAGTGGAGGGGCGCCCGGAACAGGCACTGAGGGCCCGGCGGCTAGCGATCCCTGGTGGAGGGGGCGGAGGACGCGAGCCAGGAGGCACTGGGACAGCGAAGGGGGCCGGGCGCAGATCGGGGAGCGACGGCTGAGGGGCGGCGGGCGGCTCCACCGGGACCCGGGAGTAGAGGACACGCGGGGCCGGGGCTCGGCTAGGTTGGAAGGGTGGTAGCTCACTCCGCGCTGTGCTTTCCACTGTCCCCGGCCCTCGGACGTCTAGTTGTCCGAGTGTCCCTCGCCCCTTCCTCCCATCCCTGCCGCGCACTGTGGGGTTCATCCCCGTCAGGGACCCAGGTTCGTCCCGGCATGCGGATGTCATGAGTGCCAGGAAATGTGGGTCCTCACCCTCGACCGTGCACGGGGAACGTGCGGCCCCTGGTTGCAGGAGAAGCCGCAGGCGCAGAGAGCAGGCGGTGAATGAACTTGTTGGGATGCGACGGGGCGGTCATTGAACTTCCCGTACAGCTGAGGCACTAGAGGCGGCCCCACAGCCTTCTCAGAAGGCCCGCTCCGTGCTCCAGGCATCTTCCCGTCAGCACTGAACCCTCCTGCCTCTGACAGCGGATGCTGGTGAACCAGGGTTGGCGCCTCCAGCACATTTCAGGATTTTTTTTTTTTTTCTGTGAATGCTTCCTATCATCTAACATGTACCTTGCACATATTAAGTGCTCACCAGAAACAAAAGTCACACAGCTGTTTAATGGCTTGTTAGGGGCCCAGAGCTGGTTCCATCACACCAATTGCACAAGTTCCTTTGCAATACAGGTTTTAACAGATAATACTATAATAACTTACATGTAAGCCTGTGTCGCACTACAGTGGTCTTTTCCTATTGGAAGTTGAGTATGAGTAAATCACAGTTGACGGTATTTTTGAATGCAATATGGAATCTCACTCTGAATATTTAAAATACCACGACCTATCTTGCATGTAAAAATTTTTGTGTATTGTTTTCTGCATTAAAGGCATTCTGTTAATTCGTTCTTTTCCTTGAGTTGCTTCCCTATTTGCCGGTTTTGTACCAGCAAGGGCTGACACTCCTGAAGGTCAAATTTTCCTTTCTCTACTCTCCCGTGTGGAGCATGGCGTTCATGGACTCTGTGGCTGACTCACTGTACAATGTCCAGGTGGAGCCAAGATTAGAACAGAACTTTCTCCTTAGGAAGAAAAGTCCCTGCCCCATGAGGCCCTTTGCTTCATTCCGTCTTGCTTTTCCTGGTTGCAGAAATATACAACTGGAAGCAAGCCCAGAATTTAATTATTTGTTGGTTCAACATTAGTCATTTTTTTAAAATTCCAGTATAGTTAACATGCAGTATTATAAGATATCTCAGGTATACAGTGTAGTACTCAATAATTCTATACATTTCTGTTCATCACAATAAGTGTACCCCCTTTTTTTTCAAATAAAAACAAACTATCATTTACAACTCTTTAACAACAGTACACACCACTACTGAACAACTCAAATTAGATTTTCTTCTATTTCTATACACGTACACATACCACACACGTATACATAAACTTTAAAACTAAAAACTAGAAAAGGCTCAAGAGCCTACTCTGATGGTGGCATTTATCTAAAACATAGGATGCTATACCTTCAGAACAGGTAGTTCAGAAAAACTGGCCTAATTTAAATTTTGACTGATGTCCAAGATCTTCTCATCTTAGCTACTTTCAATTTGTACCCAAAATGCACTCCAAACTGAAGCAAGAGTCAACCCATCAACTAAAAAAATAAGCCATGCCTTGTGTAAAAAAAGGACTCCAGGAAATTGGTTCACCTGTACTCATGACACCAGCAAGCCAAAGCATTTAAAAAAGAAAAAAAGAAAAAAAAAACCTAAACAAATGTATACCTCCATTTGAAAAATAAAATCTGAACTCAATCAAATGCCTTTAAAGTTCTTTTAGCCAGTCCTCAATGCAAAGTTAATTGGAAAAAAATCTGAAAAGAACCAAACTCATACAACAGCTAAATTTAAAAATCAAAGTAAAATTTCCCCAAAAAGCCTATCATTAGCAATAGGCTCTCAGCCATCAACTGATAAGCAACCAAAAACCAATTAGTTATGTTTCCCTTTAATTTGCCTGTATATATACATTTATGTATATATTTAAGTTGTACCAAAAACTGCTTACAAATGGCAATTCCTGTGAAGTAGATGATGATGAAGTTCCAGGTAATTCTAGCATGTTTCCTAATGTACTGGTACTGGAGTCTGGATCATCCTGAAAAGATAAATTTATTGAGTTTAATTGCTCTTCTATGGTAACGTTTGTATCTCCTAGTGAAAAGGGGGCTGGGAGAAGGGCTGCTTTTTCATTGCTGCCGTCCACTTCATTTCTTTGCTTATTTTTCTGTGTTTCAGTTTGAGGAGCTAATGGCAAGAATGGCGATTTGACTGCACTGTGTCTACTCTCTGGTGTGCTGTCTTGTTCATTTCCCATGGCCACGTCTACACCATTCTCTGATTTAGGCTCATAATTGCAGGTGGCATTGGTCTGAGTTTCCTCAAAGATCTCCTCTATACTCTCATCCTCTGTGACTGGCTGTTCTGGGTCCATTTCAGAATCTACATCTGCATCGTCCACACAAGTAAAATTCTCAAAGTGCAGAAAGCCATTCTTGATAGTCTTTGTTACTTTTACCTGGAGTTCAGGGGAGTTATTACAAGAGGGTTCCTGTTTCATAGCAAGTGCTGTTGGACCACCAGGACTCAAAGAAGTGCAAACAACTGGCGACTGAGCTCTTGAATAACTTTTTTCAGGGTCTTGAAAGGATTCTGATCCATCAGCAGACCCATTTAAATACTCTACATTGATCATGGAGGCCAAATCCTGTAGTCTCCACAGTGGAATGTAACAAGATGGAGAATCTTGTCCATAAGCATTTTGGGATGTTCCACTGGCAGTCGATAACTGCATAGTACACCCATTAAGTGGCGCAGAAAAATTGGATTGACCATTACCCAAAGGGCTGTCCTTGTCTTCAGGGGCATCTAAATTCACTGGATTGGAAAAGGGCAGCAGACAATTTCTTCTAGATAGTTCACAGGTCTGATCCATCCTGGGCCAGCATCAACCGTGCCCCGCGCCCCCTCCCGGGCCGGCTGGGGGGAGCGGGTGACCCTCATTACACTGGGGCGCGAGCGGAGCCTTGGGGAGAGAGCGGAGCCGCTCGCCGCACCCCCCTCCCCCCGTGTCTCTCTTCAGGGGAGTCCCCCTTTTTTTTAAGATTTTATTTATTTGACACAGACAGAGAGAGAGAGAGAGCACAAGCAGGGGAAGCGGCAGGCAGAGGGAGAGGGAGAAGCAGGCTCCCCGAGGAGCAGGGAGCCTGACATGGGGTTCGATCCCAGGATCCTGGGATCATGAGCCAAAGGCAATCGCTTAACCAACTGAGCCACCCAGGTGCCCCTAAGTGTACCTTTTTTTAAAAGTAATCTTTACCCCCAACGAGGGGCTCAAACTCATGACCCCAAGATCAAGAGTCACATACTCTACCAACTAAGCCAGCCAGGTGCCCCGTATTAAGTATACTCTTAATCCCCAACACCTATTTTACCCATTCCTCCATCCACCTCCCCTCTGGTGACCATTAGTTTATTCTTTATAGTTAAGAGTCTGTCTCTTCATTTCTCTCTTTTTTTCCCCTTTTTTGCTCATTTGTTTTGTTTCTTAAATTCCACATGTGAGTGAGATCATATGGTATTTGTCTTTCTCTGACTTATTTCACTTAGCATTATACTCCCTAGATCCATCCATGTTGCAAATGGCAAGACTTCATTCTTTCTTATGGCTGAGTAATATTCCAATATATATATTTTATATATATTTACCGCATCTTTTTTATCCATTCATCTATTGATGGACACTTCGGATGCTTCCCTACTTTGGTTATTGGAAATAATGCTGTTATAAACATAGGGGTGCATATATCTTTTCAAATTAGTGTTGTTTTTAACTAGGCTCCCCGCCCAGCATAGAGCCCAACTCAGGGCTTGATCTCAAGACCCTGAGATCAAGACCTGAGCTGAGATCAAGAGTCGGACACTTAACCAACTGAGCCACCCAGGCACCCCTCGAATTCATGTTTGTTTGTTTTTTTAAGATTTTATTTATTTATTTGACAGAGAGATAGCGAGAGAGGGAACACAAGCAGGGGGAGTGGGAGAGGGAGAAGCAGGCTTCCCGCTGAGCAGGGAGCCCGATGTGGGGCTTGATCCTAGGACCCTGGGACCATGACCTGAGCCGAAGGCAGACGCTTAATGACCGAGCCACCCAGGCGCCCCTCGTGTTTTTTTATTCTTTGGGTAAATACCCAGTAGTGGAATTATTGGATCATTGGGTAGTTCTATTTTTAATTTTTTGAGGAACCTCCATACTGTCTTCCAGAGTGGCTGCACCAGTTTGCATTCCCACCAACAATGCATGAGGGTTCCTTTTCTGCCACATCCTCGCCAACACCTGTTGTTTCTTGTGTTTTTGATTTTCGCCAGTAAAGCCCAGAAGGTATTCTATTTTTTTTAAAGAGGAACAGTAGCTTTTTTTTTTTTTAAGATTTTATTTATTTATTTGAAAGAGCACTTGAGAG